TTTATGCTTTACTTCCAGAAAATAAGTATTCAGTTAGGTTTATCAAGGAGTATAAGGAATATCTGTATAAAAACATAAGTAGTCTGTTACCTTGTTATAAGAATTCTGCAAAACTACACTATTCAGCTTAGAAGTCATGTGCCATGTTTTTTAGGTTCCTCCCACATTGTCTTTGATTCAGGATTAAAGAACCAATTCCTTTTATGGCGAAATGTCATTCAGGTTCTAAAAATACTACAGATCAAATTGCGAACACCAACGCATGATGTGTTGTTTTTTTTATTACGGCACAATTACTGCCTGAACATCAGGCAATTATTCTGTTCCATTAAACAAGCCTTGGAAGCTAGACTGAGTCATTATATGCAAGAAAAATGTGGAGGCTAGTTTATGAGAAAAAATTTGAAAAAGAGAGGAGAGTTTGGTTATAAATACATGAAAAGGTTATATATTGTAACTTGTCTGCTTGTGGTTAATAAGTTTGGAGCAAGTAAACCTCCCCCATTGGAATTCAAGTTCAGAATTATGAGGTCCCAAGTTAGCTTTGTTTGTAGAAAGAGGAGACTGAATGAATTGGGTGGTCAGACTGAGACACTTGGTCATCGTACGCCAACGGCGTGGAACAGTGCTAAATATTGATCACCAACATGTCTGGCCCAGACTCGATTATTTACCATTTGTTTACAGCCCCCACCCCATGATAGTACCAGGACCTGTAGGAAGCTAAGATTATTAGAGTTAAAGAAAATATTCCGGGCCATTATTTGATATTTCTGTCCCATATGTTTGAACTGTTACAGTTATTCTGAGTTAGGAATTCATCACTGGGGCCCAGTACGAGGGACCATTGATAAGAGTTATCTCCCTTGAATGTCAGGGTTCAAATCAAAGATTCACTCTGATTTTGATTCTTGGTTGTCTTGTCAGCGCCAAACCCATGTTGGAGAGCATCTGTAACAAGGACAGCCCACCACACTTTGTACTGACTTCGTGAAGTCAGTTCTTATAAAAATGTGTCAACTGTGAATATTTATTTCACAGACTGCTTATTATTTATTAACACTAAGAAACTGTAGACAACAATAGGGAATCAGTGACATCATTCATGGCAATAATACAACACAGGCCCCATTCTGTGATCAGCCAATCAGGAAACAGTTGTCAATTAATGGCTATGGTCTCTTTTTGAGCAGTTTAAGGAAATGTAAATGAAAAATAATTGCTTGGTAAGCCAATCCAGTGCCACGTAAACACTTGCAATATATTTATCTTGATTAACCTGACACCGTGGGACATAACTACAGCTGGAAGCAGCATGACGTCAACCAGAGTACTACAAGGTGTGAAAGTCTTCCATTGCTGTGTCTGCACAGTAGAATAGGTCTTCAGCAACCCATGCTTGCCGTAAAAGGCGACTATGCTTGTCGTAAGAGGTGACTAATGGGATCGGGTGGTCAGGCTCGCTGACTTGGTTGATGCATATCATCGATCACAATTGCGTGGATCAATGCTCATCACATCAATCACTGGATTGTCTGGTTATTTACAGACCGCTGTCATATAGCTGGAATATTGCTGAGTGCGGTGTTAAACAATAAACAAATTGAAACTGAAACTGTGTCCGCATCTAATAATGACACAATCTGGTAATAATATCAGGCTTTGGAAGCACAAGGCATTATTGGATGGCATTAAATATCCTTTTAGGATGGTTTGATATGTAGTATAAATGCTAATTTTGTGCAGGGTGATTAATATTGTTACAGTTACATGTTTATGTATTTCTCTTCACAATTGTTTTGCTGTGACGAGAATGTTTACACACATTAATCAATTATTTCAAAAGTCAACAGTAGGGTTTGTTAGATTTTCGTAGTTTGTATCTTTTGGTTTTCTAAATCCATCAAAGTTAAAGTGGTTGGACAAATATAACTAATTTCAAACTATTTTTCATTCTAACTGTGGTTTGTTTATACATGTATTTCAATTCCGCAAACCAAAACATTACTTTAAGTGTTGCCTTAATGAAGGCCCAATTTACAATTGCTTGAGCAAGTTACACAAAATGGGTCATATTTATTTAGACACCCAATTGTTACTGCTCTCCTCTAACAGTTTATGGACACAGTGGAGCCAGACTGATAGAAGCCCTTGACATGTTGATGCTGTGTTCATTGTAGATAATACATACATTAGCCATGTGATAGCAACATTATAGGAGCATTTGACCAGGGCGGTGGGCACCTAGGAAGCAGATATTTACCAACATCACTTATTTTGGGCTGTTTCAGCCAATTACTGTCAATATGTTTGAACATGTTATTATGATATTATGAAGGGAACGTGGAGGAATACTTGTAGGGGTTGGTCAATATTTGTGTTGAAATTTTAGAGGAGGATATTGATGTTTTCCGGTCAGTGAAGTGTACATGGTATGTTAGGTATTTAGCAAGGAGTTCATACACACACAGGTGGTAGGGAGGAAATTTGTGTTAAAAAATATTTTTCGACTTTTTCGAGGGGTTGTTGGTCTGTGTGACCAATAGTGGGAGAAAGAGGAAGTGTTTGTATTACACTGTTGTTTAGTTACTGTAATGTCTATGTCCCAAGGAGGATTAAGGGTTTGTATGGAGATGATCGCCCCTAAGGGTTAAGGGTGTATCACAAGGACATGTGCATTTACCAGGTTTAGAGGTTTAAAGAGCCCTTTCCAGATATGTCTTTCCATATTTTTTAGAAAGTCTTTAGTATCAATATATCAATATATTAATACCAATATTTAATATCAATATTCAACGAAAAATGCAGTATGATAATTCCTCCTAATTTCTAGCTTTGAGCAAGTGAGCATGCCTCTGTCTGGTTAGGTTTGTCTGGAGTTGCTTGTGTTATATATGCTAATCTTGTTAGTTGCACATTAAATGAATATTGATTTGTTGGTATGATTTATGAGGAATGTTGGTTTCAAGATTAATGTGATTATTGGTAACATGGCCATCTAATTATTTGCAGTAAATCAAATTATATTTCTCATCTAAATGCACCAGCACTGTTTGCAGGCCTACTCGTTGTTTGCAGGCCTACTTGTGGTTTGCAGGCCTACTTGTGGTTTGCAGGCCTACTTGTGGTTTGCAGGCCTACTCGTGGTTTGCAGGCCAACTCGTGGTTTGCAGGCCTACTTGTGGTTTGCAGGCCTACTTGTGGTTTGCAGGCCTACTCGTGGTTTGCAGGCCTACTCTTTGTTAGCAGGCCTACTTGTGGTTTGCAGGCCTACTTGTGGTTTGCAGGCCTACTTGTGGTTTGCAGGCCTACTCTTTGTTAGCAGGCCTACTCGTGGTTTGCAGGCCTACTTGTGGTTTGCAGGCCTACTTGTGGTTTGCAGGCCTACTCGTGGTTTGCAGGCCAACTCGTGGTTTGCAGGCCTACTCGTGGTTTGCAGGCCTACTTGTGGTTTGCAGGCCTACTCTTTGTTAGCAGGCCTACTCGTGGTTTGCAGGCCTACTCGTGGTTTGCAGGCCTACTTGAGGTTTGCAGGCCTACTCATGGTTTGCAGGCCTACTTGTGGTTTGCAGGCCTACTCGTGGTTTGCAGGCCTACTCGTGGTTTGCAGGCCTACTCATGGTTTGCAGGCCTACTCGTTGTTAGCAGGCCTACTCGTGGTTTGCAGGCCTACTCGTGGTTTGCAGGCCTACTCGTGGTTTGCAGGCTTGCTGTGTACATTAAAGGCATACTGTCATCAATTGTAGCCAAGGTATATTAACAGAGAGATCTCTTATAGTTGTTTTGAGGAGGTAGGTTTTTTTTCGTTTACAGCTGTTTGAGGAGATATGTCTATAATGTGTCTAAGCAGTAAATATGAAACATCAATGCCAAAAAGTAGCCAGTCTCAATTATCTGCCAAACAATTTCCATTGGTTGTAAAGGCAAAATAGCAATGAAAATTAGGTGAATGGATCACTGATAATCAGTGATGACACCAGGTGTTCGTGAAAAGCGTAAGCATGTCCTGCCCAACCGGGAGCACTCTTCCCTAACAGTGCATCATTGAAGTGTGATCCTACACTAATTCAGCCAGACTGTTTCTCACCACAGTGGCCACTCATCAGTGTACTATCTGTCATCTGAGGCTTGTGTCCACCTGATCCCCCTTGAAACGGATTGGGTATTTGGTACCAGTTTAGCCATGAAATTCACAAGTGTTGAAAAGATTGAGCAGAATGGGTGCAAACAACCAAAGCTGATGCAACTGAATCGGTTCATCTGCATGTTCTACTGGAGCAATCATATCGAATAAACCAGGATTACTATGTTCCTGGACTATGATTGTATCTGAGAAGGATGAATTATATTAGATATTATTTTTAACATATTAATTTCCACATTATGCTAAAAGATGTGAGTTTCTAGTAAGGGTGTGCAATATTACCGGTATATCCCTAAATTAAGGTTCATTCTTTCCACGATACGTCTCACAATATCATTTTTCATGTGTATATATCGGGTGATTTCAAATTTAGATTTTTATGATGTGTTTAATGTTATATACTTGCCAAATGCCTTCGCTGCCCAGGAGCCAGAATCCATCAAGGCCCCAAGATGGCTGCGTATTTATTGAATGAGTAAATATTATGTTGTACATGTACCAGCATCTTGTTTTGTTCCATTTATGAACTTCAGTTTACACCTAAATTAAAAATTTAGAATTCTAAAATATATCGTGAGACGTATCACAATCATATGGCCTAGTGCATTGCAAAATATTGCGTTACACTTTCAACCTCCAATACCCATCCCTAGTTTCTAGTGATAAAGAAAAGGTTTGTACTAATTGATTATGAATTCTGAAAAGGCAAAATGGATGTTTAATTTCCATTGCATCCAGGACAGTACGACTATCGGATTACATATATGTATATATCTTTCAGGTGACTGAAAACCTCAGGTAAATCTCTTTCTGGGTTTTGAGATAAACAAAAAGTCAAAGTTACAAAACGCTTGTTTAAAGGTTAAAATCAGTATACAGTGTCCGGGTAATAGCAATCTCTAAACGTTGAATGCTGTGTTGTCTACTCGGCTTACATAATGATGAGTTGAAATGTATAGGGTATTCAGCTGAAGTTTTGTACATACATGCCGACAGTAAGCAGTCCTTTGGAAGCCCAGGTCCATTTTTGTACCTACACTGCCAAAGGCAGGTGGTAGAATCAACTGCCAGGCTGCAAAAAAAAGTAGACACTTGAAAACTGGATTTTACCAAAACATTACGAGCATTATCAAAAAACTATTAGGCTGAAGACAGTCGCCAAAACACTTCATACTTGAGGTCCAAAACACAACAATGATACCTGTATCAAATACAACACCATCGAACAGCCATTTTTTGTTTGTTTGTTTTTTAGCCACCATTAAACAGGGGGGTATACTTTCTTTTACCTGACAGTTTATGTTTGCCTTAGTTGTTTTATGGTTAATTACCTAACAAATACTTTTCAACTTTCTGTATCAAAAATAAGATAAACAGATCATTTTAAAATATCATAAGTGTGTATATTTTGGCATGCGCTTGTCCCTAAAACAAATAATAACATTGGTCTAGTGTTAGGATGGGATATGCTGACAGTTTCATACCTGGGAGTTTAAATAAAGGCATTTAGAGATTAGATTTTAACACGACAGTGAGTATCATTATGGATAACAACTTCTATATTATACATACCGTAATTGCCGTTGTAGAAAATTTACAAACAGGGCCCTTACTAAATCCTATCGAACAAGCTAAATTTGTATTTAGAGATCAAACGCTAATGAACAAATTTAGTTCAACGTTGATGAAAGTAAAAAATTTACATTAGTTACCAGGCAGATATATATACCACTTCAGTGCTGCTGATGTCTGTAAATAGTCTGTAACTGAAAAAAAAAATATAGACTGACATTTAAAGTTTTGGTCCTGGTTGGGGTGCTTATAAAGAGAACTTTAATACAGATTTGCCAACAGGGTGATCAGGGTCCCTTTTTGGCACAGGGCGCTTAATACAGTGTTTATGGTACACCTGGTTTCCCCTGAAGGGGCAAGAAGAAGCCCTGAAACATTGTGTATGTATAATGGAGAAGTTGTTGTTCAGGATTATAATTCCTTGTCATTTTCATACCTGATCCACAGACACAGGCTGCAGACATCTTGCATTCCATAGCATTATACATGTGTCAATATTTGGTATTCATTAACCATAAACCATTCAACTTTGCAATACACATGTTCAAGTATTTTGGGGAAAAGGTGGATGTTTAAGAGACTGACTGCCAGAAGTGGCATCCTGAAGACCTACACCTTTGTAATCATTGTCCTGTCAAGATAGCTGCCACAACACAGGAAGATTCTAAGGGATAGAAGTTATTTTAAGACTTGGGTACAGCCCAGTTGCACCAAGAAACGGTCCACTGGCAGTTATTCTTGGAGATTAGAAAACTTACCATACTGGTGATACACATACGTTCATGTTTTTAGACATTATCTCTTTATGATAAGAAACGAGTCATGTCAATACTTTGGAATGTTTATTAACATGGTCTAATTTTGAAAAATTTGATAAGTTTCTTATCTGTGTAGGTTTTGAAATTTTAACTCAATTCTGAGATTGTACGTGCTGAAATATGTAATAGAGCCTGCTATGTACCTGCTGGTGTTAGCATATCTGATAATATAGGTTTTTACTGCCAGGCAGTAGTATGTGTGCCTGCTTGAAGATTTCCTTCTCATGGACGTGAACTTAAGTAAGATATCTGTCTTCAGTTACGTCAGGAATCTAAAAAAGCAGCATTATTCTTGGTGTTCTAGACTGAGTAAGACAACATCTTCCTCCTTGGTGGGTTGAAATAGTTTAAGCAGACTTTCTGACATGGCAGAGTCTGTAAGATCTTGCTATTATTTTTGTGCATTCTATGCAGCATAAAACAATACTTGTTCTTCTATACAATGTTATTGCAATCAATATTTTCAAATTTAATCTCATACATTTGTTTTCCATTTATCCATTTATCATGGAAATCAATGAATTTGAAAGCTATGGGAATTGATTCATCCAAACATGCCTTGTTCGTTAGTCCAGGCAATTAAGTTTCACAACTCATGGTTATTGTTATGTTAAGTAAGTTATTCTCTGTTGCAATTAAACAGAAGCAGTGGGTTGTGTGACCTCAAAGCCTACTGACGTTTTCCATTTAACACTGCACCTTAATTCATGAAAAATGAGCAAAAGTAAATTTAATTTTACAAAGTTTTAACCACATTATGTACCTTTTTTGTGAGAAAACTACAAAGTTGCCTTTCAAGCAACTGAAATTGAATAAAGATATGCTGCTTTATTTCCGTAAATAATGAAAAGTTAATTTTCAGTGCTGTACCTTCGTAGGTCTGTTGTATCTCTAAGGTGGGCGGTACAGGGGTGGCACAGTTATCTGGGCTGACAAAATTTGCTTGTCCTGTAGGTGTGTCAGAAACTTAATCATTGGTTTGAATCCCAGATTTGCCTTTTGTTTCTTGGTTTGTCAGCACCATGCCTGTCTGAGACCTGCATCACTTTGGCTTTCCTTCCACGTCAAGCTGCCTCGTCGTGATGGAACTAAAATAATGTTTAAAGCAGCATTAAACCGAACTCCTCACTCTAAGATGTGCTCCTCGATGTAAAGGAGTTACTAAATCCCCTCCCCCTTCTCACCACCCCGCCCCCCCCCCCCCGTCTCTCGGGACACAGACCCAGTGTACATCACCCCCAGTTTGTTGCAACACAACTGATGGGACAAGTGGTCTGGTGAGTTAGATCTATCACACAACACCCAATGGCCATCCTATTGTATCCTCAGTAAACACACAGTAAACACTGGTCAGTCGTGTACAGTAGGCTCACTCTGCACAAACACATACTTGACATTTGGCCAAGTTACTGGACACTGGTCAGCCACCAGAGATGGCTCCATGGTTCTCTTGTTACAGTCCTTGTGTCTACGTCTACTTCCTAATGGCAGTCTGATCCCTGTGGTTGTCTGTTTAATCTACATCCATTAAGCCTGGCAATGCCTTTACATAATTAAGTAAGTCAGACTGTAGTGAATTGGAATAGATCTTTCAGTTGCTGCAATTTGTGAGATGGTGTCGAGTGATCACAAGTTATTAGGTATTCTGGGTTTGAAACCCATCACATACTGCGGAATTAAATTGAATTGAATTAAATTATGATCATTAACACAGGAGTCATGAGTGTTGGCTGGATCTTCAGGAGAGTGAATCAAACGAATGTGTTGCAAAGTAGTTTGCCCTACGATTGTACTATATCAATAGGAATATAAATATGTCATTGGTATTGTCGATAGTATGCATAACAATATCTCAAAGTGAACATAGTATTGTCTCAAAGTGAACATAGTATTGTCTCAAAGTGAACATAGTATTGTCTCAAAGTGAACATAGTATTGTCTCAAAGTGAACATAGTATTTTCTCAATGTGAACATAGTATTGTCTCATAGTGAACATAGTATTGATTCAGAGTGACTGCAATAAGCCTATTTAGAGTATGGGAGTTGTCACATCGTAACTCTAGTAATTTTCTGGACTGGGTCATCTGAATCAAACAGGAAGCAAATAAATATTGATATTTCAAAGGCCTTCATAAATACATATCGCAATGTAGGAGTAACCACATGTATTGATATAAGACTTCCTTTTGAGTTTTTCCTCCGTTTGGCTGGATCAACAATGACTTGTGTGTTGCCTGAGATCATGACCGCCTCATGTCAATGTCTGTCTCTCAGTGCATGGCAGAGCGCCACAGACATACGAGTGTGATTATAGAGCTGTTTTATTATGATGTGTATGACAGTCATACAGCTTATGATGTTAACATGACAGCTTGCCTGTCAACACAGCCATATGCTTTGAAGCCATGTGCAGCAAGTGAACCTTGTGGTGTTTTCTACATGTCACAGTGGAATATATTGATGGCAGTTGCTTTACTAGAGTATGTTTTGTAGCAAAGGGATTTCTTGTAAGTAAGGGACTCGTAATTTATTATAGGAGGGTGGGGCGGTTGGATTGGCCTTAGGACTATATCATATTTTGCTTATTCTCATATTATGTAATTTTTTTCAGAATTCTGTGCAGGCTGGCACAGTGAGTGAGTGAGTTGGGTTTAACGCCGCTTTTAACATTATTCCAGTTATGTCACGGCGTGTCAGCTTAATGTGGGAGGAAAGCCCGAAGTGATGCAGGTCTCAGACGTTTACCACTTCGGTGAAACCCACGAGCACGGGTATGGTGCTGACAAACCTAGAAACATAATCGGGGGGGAACCGGGATTCGAACCCAAAATCATAGTTTTCTGGCGTGCTCAAGGGACGCAACTCTGCAAAGCGAATCGCAGCGCCTTAGAGTCTTAGACGACTGGGCCACCTGTGCCCCCAGGTTGGCACAGAATGACTATGTAGTACTGTAGTTGCCTGACAGAATGAAATATGTGCACACACCATTTGATGGGTGTGGGGTGTGTGGCTGGGATTTGATTGAAAAAGAATATAATGTCCAAAAAGATTCTTGAAAAAAATAATAATGCTTCATACTGTTGATTGTTGAACAAACCAAATTGTCTGCCACAAAAATTACATTGTAGCAAATGTTTTTCTTTAAGAATCTAAAAAAATATTTGGTTTTGCAGCTATAACTGGAAAAATATCTAATCTCCAGACAAAATGATATTATATCTATATTTATTTATCCCCTTAATGCTGAGCGTCAAACAGGGTAACACATGTCCTAACTTTTAACATCTTTTTGTATGACACGGCCAGGCCTGAAGGTATCAAACCACCGACGTAACTCTCCGGGCCACGCAGACTATACATGACTATAACCGATATAATACACCTGTCACAGAGTATTGTGATGCACTGAATGTTTAGTGACTCATCATATCCCTACAGATGAACAACAAATAAACATTATAAACTACCTCCAGCTGATTATGTACAGATTGCCATCCTATAACTGTAATATTGCTTGTGAACACTTGCCCTGCCTTTGCATGTGTTTGTTATGGGTGCCAACAGTGCACGTTTATGCGATCACCTAGTATAATGACTTTGATAGTGATTCATAAACATATGCGTATGATATAGTCGGAATCGTAGAATGGACCCTGTTAATTGTTGTTTTGCTTCTCTATATCAAACATTATAATTGTCTTTTAAACCTTTGGAGTTGTACCGGTTCCCTCAGCTCAGATTAAAGTCATATTTTACACAGCCATTGTGGCAAATGGACCTGTACCGTTACATTGCCTCAAGATTTTGTTCCCAATTTTCATTTGCAATCTTGGAGAGAATTGCATTTATAGCTTCTTTATGCATATCACTGTTCAAATTATCTGTCAAGCCACTCACTCGAGGCCGCAGTTTAGCATTGATATTCCAATGTTGTAGCAAGAATTTTATGTCATTTGAATTTTTCATTTAAAAATTTGCCCCGAAACTGCTTGACAAGTGCCACCGTGCCTTGCAGGGGCATTCAACCTGATTACTATCCAAATCACAATACATCCTGTGGCAGTCTTTGCCAAATATGCCCCATTTAGGCTGCCTTTTTCATTGTCTAGACTTTTGTCTAAAAGGGCTAAAATTCTCTGGATAGCATTAATGAATAAAATGGCATTACTCCATTGAAAAGCTGCTATTATCAGTTTTTCACTTTGTAACTTTGAATTCGAGCCATTTTATCACACTGATCAAGATGACAATCTTTTCAGCGTCATAATAGAAGTTATTAAGACATAAAAAAATGTTTGGTGAATTTATTCAAAATGGCTGCCATTTTGCATAATTATCCTGTGAAGGGAATAGAATGATGATTTTCTTCAAGAAACAAGCAAATATGAACTGACTCTCTGAATCATACTCCTTTGTCTGCTGTTTATAAAACTGACTGTTTATTGACAAATGGAATTTCTTTATTGTCATTTAAATTTCCAGTTTCTAAGGCTTTGCATCATTCAGAAATAACAAGGACTTTGTGTTTAGTGGTTTGACAGTTAACAGTAAAAATAAGGAAGATTATAAAAGTAAAGTTACCAATAAATTACAGACATTTGAGACACAGCTGTGTGGCTCAAGCCAGAGAATTGATTTCTGATATAATAATGCTAATTCTATAATGCATTTGTCCCCAAGAACAGGATGTTGCTAATGTGATATTTTTGTAACTTTAAGCAATTATCTGCTGTGTGTTTTCCTGCACCCTGAAGTATTCCAAGAGTCCAGTTTGGGAGTTAAATCTCTTTCATGTCTTCGTGTATACCTGAGATCCAATTTTAACGAGTCAGTGTTTTTCCCCACCTCAATTGAAGCGTGTTTTGACAAGGAAGTTTAACACGACTCCCAGCTCAGAGAGAGCCTCTGTTGTGGTTCAGACCACTGTGAATGTTCATGCTGTAAAAACGCACAATCAGGCCTGCGTCATGCACTGCATATTTCCCTGTTAAAACAGCTAATTGTGCATCCTGCTGCAGAGAATGCCATAAGGGGTTGTTTACATTGTAGAAAGCTTTAACCCCTTAGGTTGTACTTTGGTTTGCTTTTGGAAATGGAAAGACAAGCGTAAACTTAAATAATTTGTTTTGGATTAATCATATATTCAAATATACGAACACTCACACTGGACAATCAAGTTGCCCAGTGTTTATTTAGAAAAATCATATAGGTAAATATCTTGAATGTTTATGAAACATCTCTTCTCAGTTTTCTAATATTGGAACTGATTTTTTATGTCAGTTTTGTGTGGACAGATGTATTTCTCATATACTTAATGATGTAAATTATTGTTTAGGAGTGAGCAAGTACAAAATGAATTGAAATTTTAGTGAATTACTTGTGATGTGTTGTTCTTCTGTTGTGAAAAATACCACAAAAACATGAGTAAGGGTCATACCATTGGTTATTTTGGAGGGATGGGAAGGGTTCAGTCTCTCATATGCTGATCCATCAAACTTGCATCTTGTCAAACATGTATATCAATCACCTTGATGTCAATCACTATTTGTTTTTTTTGGCAAATTTATGACATTATCCTACAGCTGATATGTACAGATTGCCATCATATAGCTGAAAAATTGCTTGCGAACACTTGACTTGCCTTTGCATGTGTTTGTGATGGGTGCCAACAGTTGGGCATGTTTATACGATCACCTAATATAATGACTTTGATAGTGATTCATAAACATATGCGTATGATATAGTTGGAATCATAGAATGGACCCTGTTAATTGTTGTTTATTAATTGAAATTTTAGTGAATTACTTGTGATGTGTTGTTCAATGCAGAAGTTAAGTTTTCTTCTGTTGTGAAAAATACCACAAAAACATGAGTAAGGGTCACACCATTTGATATTTTGGAGGGATGGGAAGGGTTCGGTGTCTCACATGCTGATCCATCAAACTTGCTTCTTGTCAAACATGTATATCAACCACCTTGATGTCAATCACTATTTGTTTTCTTTGGCAAATTTATAACATTATCCTTGGAAAATTTTCACACAGGAAAATTTAAATATCTGTCAATTTTTACTTGAACATTTTTTAC